GTTTGGGGTAGATGCTGGAGAGTTATCTGACACAACAGTTTTACAAACGAGTGGTGAAGAGTTATCATTTCCGCCAGGTCCTTATTTTTAGTCTATGACCCCATTGGGGAGAGACTTGCCCTCACTTCCTGTGCCGCCTGCCTGTAGAGTGTAAGGGGCTGTTATCACTGGAAAAGCAAGGAACATATAACAGTTCAAACATTCTTCGCCATACTAAAAAAGGCGTTTTGTTTGTGTCTATGTCCCCTTTACAGATAATTTCTCATCACTTCTTGTCTTGACCAGAAATAGTAGGGGGGGAAAAAAACAAACACCTTGACCAAGGCTTTAAGCCTTCTACTTTCTAATCAAAAATTTGGCTGCATCTGGCTTTAAATATTGTGACATTGTAATATTAATTCCAATTATGACTAATGATGAGCACACTGGCCTAAGTCTGGTTTGCTTGGATGTTCATCAAGCCCAGCCGGATGCCCAGGTTTGGCAAATGAACCAACCCCATGATCATCTGTGTCCCAGCAACCAATGACATTGTGCAACCCAAACAGCCTGATTGGTTGTTAGGATGCTAGCAACTTGGGAGCACAGTGTCACTGGTTGCTAGGACACAGACGGATGCACCATAGCAACCAATGACACAGTGGGGCTGCCAGGACCTTAGCAACCCACAAAGCATCATTGGCTGCTAAGATGATGGCGGCCCCACAGCAGCATAGGCGCCTGCCTCCCTCGCAGCAACCAATGGCGCTGTGTGGCTTTGCCACCAGCCAACCAATGATGCTGTGTGGGCTACACAGCGTCAGTGGTTGCTAGGACACAGAGAGAGGTTCTAAGGGCACACAAACTGACCAAGTCTTTTGTGCATATGCTGACTGTGAACCGCTTGTGTTCAGGTTAAACTCATGGTTTACCCGAACCCAAAGCTCAAACATAGCGAGGACCAATAAAAATGTTCCATGTGTGACCCTAACAAAGGAGTTGCTTTGAGTGACAACAGTTGCGTGCTTACAGGCTCCAGCAATGGAAACCCATCCATTATTATAGCCAATATAGTAATATTACAACTGAGACTTCTTGTGACTCCAAAAATTGAGGCTGGGATCCAGAGCTACTGAATGCATATCTAGGTTATAGAACTGAACCAAGAAACAAATGCAAACCGGAATGCAAGCGTTCCATGACAATACAGGCCACTGTCTTCTTAGATTCCAAGCATCCCCCTCCATGGAGCCCTCAGGCTAGATTCACATTTTTCCACACACGTTTTCATGGTTTAGATTTTAAGCTCATTATCAATGCACGTTATCATACGCTGTCATTGTCATCAATGGGTCCTTTTAATGCACAATGGCTTATCAAAAAACTGATATTAACTTTCTTTTGATCATCTTAAACACCCACTATAGTATCAAAATATTGTATTCTGGTAGCTTTATAGTTAATGTGTGTAATGATAGTATCTAGTATATTATGTTTTATTTCACGAGTATTTATTTTATTTTTTACACCTTTACATGCAGGCCAAGCTGTTCAGAAAGAAAAAGTTGCAAGGGTTGCCCAATAAACTCTCATCACACATGTTCCTGGACCAGAGTAAAAGGGTGCTGTAACAACTGCAGCAGGTCAGCTGGTATTAGCAAATGGATAACAACATATGTAACCAGCACACCATGGATCAACAGCCCCAAATTACTGCAGCGATCACATCACATGCAACGTTTGAGGGCATGCAGGACCTTTTCATCAGGCATGTGATCATAAATGTTCTTATCCAGTTGCAAGGGTTGGGACAAACTGTTACACTGACAGGGGTGATCACAGTGGACATCTTTATATCACATGGTGGCTATAATTGCTTAAAAGGTTTTAGCTAGGGTTGGGCTTTAATGTGTTGCTAGGCAGGACATAGTCCAGGAACCAGTGTTCTATCAAAGTTTGTGACTGCGTTAGAATGCGTGACCGGCGACGTGGTCACACATTTTAACCTAATCACGCCCACTTTTTCAGAGGTGGAATATGTGACCGGCAAAAGGTGAAGAATCCCAGCTGTTCCAGGGCAGATTGGCATCGCAGATGATATGTGCAGGAGAACCGATCTGCCCTGGAACAGCTGATCGGTCCTGAAGTGTAACTTCTATCCGACTTTGTGACTGCGATCTTACATTCCACAAAGTCGGATAGAAGTGATATTTCAGGACCGATTAGCTGTTTCAGGGCAGATTGGTTCTCCTGCACATATGATCTGCAATGCCGATCTGCCCTGGACAGCTGAGAAAGAGTTGGAATTCTTCTCCTTTTGTCGGTCACATATTTCACCGTCGAAAAAGTGGGCGTGATTATGTTAAAATGTGTAAACACGTCGCCGGTCACGCATTCTAAACGCAGTCACAAACGTTGATAGAACACTGGTTCCTGGACTATGTCCTGCCTAGCAACACATTAAAGCCCAACCCTAGCTAAAACCTTTTAAGCAATTATAGCAACCATGTGATATAAAGATGTACCCGCTGTACCTGCCCCTTCCCCCGTCCGTTCAGTCAGCGCTGGCAGATCAGAGCGGGGGGAATCCAGCCCCTCCCCTGTCGCGGCAGAGAGCCGTGACAGGATCGAGAGGTGAGCGAACGCGGGTATGTGTTCGCTCACCTCCCGATCTACTGAGCCGACCTGTGACAGTCTCATTGTAACAGGTCGGCTAGAACTATGAGGCTAGTGGAAATCACTCATCTCATAGTTCTCCTTTAACAACAGTTGCTTTTGAACATTTAACGAATTCTGCTGTTTTGCTGATACTCGCTCCATGGCTCCGAGCGCCAACAATCATCCCACATTCAAAGGCTGTTAAATTGCGTTGTTTACCCGTATCTTCAGAAAAAAAATCACTTCTACTGTCGTGGTAAACAACCTGCTTACCTATTTATAATGGTCTGGCCCTCCAGCAACTTCAGCACGAAATTATAGCTAATTAGCCTACAAACGTCAGGTGGTCATAATAATCTGGCCACCCAGTGTATATACATATAAGATTATAAGACGCTCTAATTTGTCTATTTTAAAAATGGAGATTTTTTTTTTTACGTCCATTAAATTATATTTCACCGCTATAAAATAAAAAATATGCAAATATGCTGTAAAATCCGTGATCTATTGCTGCCTGTGAATCTAAATGCTCATTTCCCAGAATCCTTTACTGATATAATATACAGTATTCATGTGCAAGACCAGTAATGTGCTGCAGTGAGCCGTCCACACACGCTGCATTGGGGAATCTCTACGAGCACAAGTCATCATAGAGGCTCACATTAGACAAACGTAAAATGATATTTTACTATTTCTAGGAAATATGGTTAAAAGCTAGACAGCATCCCCCCGACAGGCGATTCTAAATCGAATTTTACTGAGCTTATATAATGTATTCATTATTTTACTCATCTAAAACGAAGAAAAAAAAAAGAAAAAAAACACTATTGGATTGGCAGACATTTTCGGTACTCTGATCCAAGAAAACAAAACAAAAAAATGGTTAAAAAAATAAATGGCATTGTAAACCAAATGTACACATTTTAAAAAAAATTGAAAAGCAGTATCCATTTCCTGTTTGATATTTAATGCTTTACGTGGCAATAAATACAGTCAGCAGGGCATGATGCATACTCAATAAACAGAGCTTTAGTGGTGATAAATAGACTACATGAAAAGGACCTGAAATGATATTCTACTTAAAGCAACTATCTCACGACCAGCAGGTACCGTCTGTGTTTTCTTATTGCATCCATTCTCTTCACATCTTCCAGAACCAAACACATCAGCATCAACATATTCCGTACCAACTGGCCACTATCTATAGCCCTAATGGCTTTTCCACATCATACACAGTCTCCATACACCTATGTATCTCCGGCATGCATTAGTGAACGGATAGAAATCAACAGCTCGAAGCCATTGGGCAGTAAAACACTACAAAGCCCCTCGGCCATCATAAAAGTCTACCATGCGCCGTACCCTTATGCACAACCACTTAGCCTTCTGAACTGTCAATCACCCACTATGCCAGGATGAAGAATAAAACCCTGATTGGGAGGTTCTGCAGCAGCTCAGGCCTTTCTGCCCCAGCTTTGATCCTGGAAACAGTGAGAAGGGCCACTGAGACGCTCGCATGCTACAACCCCCTCCCACGGCTCTAACATGCAACCACATATGCAGCATGAAATTATTACAATATGGCCACTAACAGCTTTATTTAATAAGGCAGCCAACGGAGCGAGAGCGATGTGCAAAGTGCGGTAACCATAGCAACCAATCAGAGGTCTTTTATTGGTGCACATTAGTGAGAATGGAGAGAAGGTGAATGCTGATTGGTTGCCAGGGGTGACGGCACAGCAGCCTGAAAGTATCAAATTGCTTGATTGTCATCCACAACCTATTCTTTAAATTAAAAAAAGAAGAAAGAACAATAAAAAAAACACATCAGACTCAATTCAAAGCTGGAGGCACACAGGCTTTTTTTTTTCCGCTACAACCCACCCATGCTAGCGATCAAGAGTGTTTTTTTTGTAGTTTAAACCAGCACTATGGCCTTGGGTTGTGCTTTGCTACACATCGCGAATGGAGAGCGACCGCCGCTGGCGATTTTCGCTGCCGAATCGCTTTAAAAATAAGATTCCACGGGCGACCATTATGTGGTAAAAAAAACGCCGGCGTGACATCAGCCTTAACGGTAGGATCTTTTAGCCTTGTGGGTTATTTTCAGATCTCATTGGACTCGGCTGGACGTAACCTTAGGAAGGAGCCTCATCGCGGTGCGTTCCGGCGAACGAACGTCTGTAGAAACGTTCGTACAAAATTCTAACCGTGTATAACCGACTTTGGGAATTGAGTCTGATGTGAGACGATGATGATCAGAAAGCCCTTGTAAGCTCCTCCCATATTGATCGGCGACCCCCTATGATGCCCCCCAGCAGATGAGTGGTCACCCCAGCCTGGGCATGGTGAATGGCACTTACTGTAGCAGAGGTGAGGCTGTTATCTGCCAGGCTCAGGTGGTGGGGCTCCCATCTCCTTAGGAATTTGGAGGTGAGGATCTTGCTCAGGAAGGTCCTGGGGTGTCTGATGACACAGACCTGGATGTCCCCCTCTTGCAGCAGTTTATACCTCATGCCATTGAAGTGCACCAGGGTCCTCCTGCAGGGCACAGCACCCATCTTGCCCCCCTCCGGAGCAGACATCTCCCCCAGCAGTGGTTTGTTCTCCTCTATCTGTCTGTGATCGCTGCCCCCACATGAGCTGCTGGTAAAATCCATAGCAACTAGTGAAGGAGACGAGCTTCAACTCCCCCCCCACCACCCCCCTCCAAACCCCGACAATCCAACAACAGATCGCGATCCCTCAGTCACAGAAGATCGTCTTCCAGAGCTCACAGGATCCCGGGCATTTCCAGGGCACGGCGTGATTAAATCCACATTTTATCCAACAGCTGAAGCCGCAACCCCCCCTTTTAGATCCAGACAGTCCGGGGCGGCCGGGTTCCCTTTGTGGTGTGCTCGGATTTCAGCATGGATCGTATGTGTTCTGTGTGTCAGTGTGTAGATAGATGTATGTATGTGTGTGTGCGAGAGAGTGAGTGAGTGTGTGTGCGGGGATGCGTGTGTGTGTCACAGCCAAGCAATTGGTAAAAGATTGCAGCAACTTCTCGCCCCCGATTGGCCGGCCCGGTGTCACGTGGTGGGTGAATGACGTCAATGGCAGAAGCAAGCGGATCAGGATGCACATTCTGAGTGTGTGTGTCTGCTGCATGGGAGGGGAGGCTGTCATTAATGGGAGAGCTGGGGACAGGGCACAGCCTGGGCTCCATCTCTAGATCACCTGAGTCTTATAGGTCCCTGCCTGATAGAGCAGACAGCAGTGTGTGCAGGATACCCCAAGGCCACCTTATACAGTGTATGCATGGATGTGGCCCCTGTAGGGACCTGGTATGGGTCACATGTCACCAGCTGCAAGGTGGGAGCATAATTAATAATAAGAATTTATTGTCATCGTTACAAACATCCAATGAAAAAAAAATCCCACTGCTCCTGGATAATTGCAGTCATCACTTAAAGGAGAACTCCAGGCATGTGCAACATTAACCCTTGCAGTGGGGCAACCCCTGCGATGCAAGGGTTAAGTGCTTACTTTTGGTCTAGGATATAAAATAAAAAAACATACTCGCCCAATCCTAAGTCCTGCCTGGCTGCTGGATCGGTCCCTGCAGCCTCTTCTCCCCCTGGGCTCCGGCAGTCTAAGGACCCGTGATGTCATCACGTCCATTCACTTGAATTGGACATGAGGACGCCAACTGATGTTCCACAGCCAGAGTGGAGGGTAAGAAAAGTGAGTGGTCACCACCAGGGACCGAGGATCGGGTGAGTATATCGCATTTGCACGCATTTGTTTGCCACGTGTGTCGCACGTCGCCCATTGATTTCAATAGGTTCCTGCATACATGACAAACGCGGGAAAGTAGCTCATGTAGCAAATTTAGGGGTCCCGCGTTTTTCTCCTTCGCATTTAAACGCGCACAAATGTGGCAAAACATGCGTTTGGGGTGCCATTAGCTAGCACATTGTACGTTTTTGACGCATTCCTTGAACGCGTAATTTGTTCCCATGTTTGGCGCACGTTCACGGAATGCCTGTGTGTGAACGGGGACTAAGTCAATTCATGTTGTTCGATCCAGACCGGCAACTTTAATACCCCACAACTTGAACCGGCAGACATATTAAGCAGGTTTCTTCCGTGCATCGCACATGTGCATTACCAGGCGTACGATTCTTTCCTTCATCAAAAATCACATTTACGGTTAGAATTTTGTTGGTTCAGATAAGAAATAAGAAAAAAAATTGCATCCCGCCCTTTTCATCTTCTCGTCACTAAGATTGAAAAACAAACGCCGATTAAACCCTACTAACCATTGTATGAGTGCAAGGTGGTCCTTAAGGTGTATGCAGTCTGAGGTGATGATGTTCTGGATGGGGGTGGGGGGGGAGGGGGCAGGGAATTGTTTGTTATCCGAAGGGGGGACACTGGACCGCTCCATCCGGCATCCCGTCCAGCTCACTCATGTCATTGGTTGCCAGGAGCTCAGCGGGACGCACATTAGAGTATCCCCGCTCAGCTTCTGGCAACCAGTGACGTCAGTGAGCTGGGCGGGAAGCCGCACAGAGCGTCACAGGTTGCTAAGAGCTTTTAGCTCTGTCCGGCATCCCGTCCAGCTCACTAACGTCACTGGTTGCCAGGAGCTCAGCGGGATGCAAGCTAGAGCGTCCCCACTCAGCTTCTGGCAACCGGTGACGTCAGTGAGTTGGGCGGGAAGCTGCACCGCACAGAGCGTCACAGGTGGCTAAGAGGTTTTAGTTCTGTCCGGCATCCCGTCCAGCTCACTAACGTCACTGGTTGCCAGGAGCTCAGCGGGATGCAAGCTAGAGCGTCCCCACTCAGCTTCTGGCAACCGGTGACGTCAGTGAGTTGGGCGGGAAGCTGCACCGCACAGAGCATCACAGGTGGCTAAGAGCTTTTAGCTCTGTCCAGCATCCCGTCCAGCTCACTGACGTCACTGGTTGCCAGGAGCTCAGCGGGATGCAAGCTAGAGCGTCCCCACTCAGCTTCTGGCAACCAGTGACGTCGATCAGCTGGGCGGGAAGCCGCACCGCACAGAGCGTTGCAGGTGGCTAAGAGATTTTAGCAACCTGGGACTTTGTGGCCGCCCCCACCACCACCCCACAACTCCACCGGTGAAATGCCGCCTGGGCCACCTCATTAGAACGTTCCAAAAGTGACAAAGTTTAAGCAAAATTCTACTGGTGTATGGCAGCTTTACCTGACAGATTTGTATTTACCATTCCTGTGATCTAGGACGGACAGCCGGTTCAGTAACCTCACTTTTCAGTCTGCCGTTAAGTGATCACAACGTGGTCACCAACCTGAACTCAGCCAGCTGATTAGATAGCCAAGGTTCATCACATGAATATATCATATTGGTGGGGCCTATGACAAAACATAGTGAACGGCACACTGTCCACTGTATACACAGATGGAGTTGTAAAAGATTTTCCCAGCCCAGCATGGGTGTGTTAGCAATAAGGATTGAGTACAAAGCTGCTTTTGTGTCAGTGATTAGGAACTTAGGTAAGGATCAGTAAGGATTTGCAATCACCAATGTATTATGATCTTAAGCACAGATACCACTCCTTCACCAGACTCCTTTCCATTGGCAGCCTGCAATGAAGTATTTATTTCCTGTAACTGTCACTTTGAATTGTGTAACTTTATTGTGCACTACGTCATGGTTCTTCATCACTTGCAAATGCATTGGGTGTGTATGTATGTGTCTTCTGATTGGCAATTTTAACCAGCTACACTGCATGCAGATAAAAAAAATTAAAAAAACACCAGTTCCACCAACCACACCAACACCAGGTAAGTGTTCATTTAAAAAAGTGTATTGTATTTTTGAGAGTGACTAGTGCAGAGCTAGGCAAACTCTGGCCCTCCAGCTGTTGAGGAACTACAACTCCTATGAGGCATTGCAAGATCCTCACAGGCATAACTCTCAGAGACAGATGCATCATGGGATTTGTTGTTTCCCTGAAGTTGGAGGGCTGAAGTTTGCCCACCCCTGGAGTGTTTGAGTTCCTAGCATTTAGCAAGGACCCTCAATGGATAGTGCAAAGGTCTCTTTGCTTCTCCTCCCCCTCACCTTTTTCTCTTTGCAGGTTGCTATTGGCTTTTGCAGCAGGTTTCTTCCTCCATTGAGGTGGGATATTATTGGTGGCTCTTTCCTACTCATCGCTGCTTACTGATTGACCCCCACTGCTCCTGTTCAGTCAGCATTTGAGGAGGACTATGGACCACGCAGGGGCATCCCTAGATTTCTTGCCGCCTGAGGTGGAGGTAGGGGGTGTTCCTGGTAATGGCAATTAGTGGTGCATGTTCCGTGGGGGGTGTTGGCTTGTGTTGCCGGCAGGAGGGGGGGGATTGGGCGTATTGTGGTACACGGCGTCCACCCAGCTCACAGACATCACTGGTTGCCAGGAGCTGAGTGGGACGCCAGCCAGAACATCCCACTTAGCTCCTGGCAACCAGTGACGTCAGTGAGCTGTGCGGGACACTGGCCAGAGCGTCACAGGTTGCCAAGAGCTCATAGCAACCTAGTATGCTCTAGCCAGAAAGGGGGTGGCAGGCACACCTGCTAACCCCCTTCCCTCCTACGTGACCCAATGAGATGCTGCCTGAGAGTTCCATTTTGGTGGACTTGATTGTGATTAATTGGAGGTAATTAGATTTAAACAGACACATCCGCTTACATCCGACTCCACATAGATCTAACATGGGTCCAGATAGTTCAGTTTTTTCCTCCATCTTGCGATCAAGGAAAAAAAGTAACAGAGACAGATATGTACTGCTCCAATCAGCAGGTGATCCATGTATGGAACCCCTGCTGATCGGAACAATGGTGGCCACTTGAAAGGGGCCCAAGACATGAAGATACCTTTCTGTTTTCAGAAGACTCTACTGTGCTCTGCAATGGTTCAGTGAAGGTCTTTTTGGCTACTTTTAGCTCACCTCACTTTAGCCTGTTTGGACATACAGCAAACTCCCCGGTATTCAGCATCCACAGGGATTGGTAGATTCCAGATAAATGTAGTTTTTGGTTGCTTGAGAGTTACTATTAAAGATACTGTAGGTCTAGCTAATACCATACCATAACATAACATAAACCCTGTATTGACTTCATATTAATATTGAAATGCCGCAATCAAAAGCAAATGAATACAAATAGACACACTTAAGACAAATAGACACACGATCATTTCCAGAATAATACATGCCGCAGATCAGCAGAACAGTGAGTACTCTGTTTTTTTCTGGTTAGATGAGAGTTCTGATTAGTTGAATACCGGATAACAGAGAGTTTACTGTAATTTGCTAATAATGAAATAATGTTTTAGATAGGAATGCACCGATACCGATGCTAGTATCGGTGCCGATGCCGAGTATTTGGGCGAGTACTTGCACTCTCCCAAATGCACCAATGCCTAGGCCGATACTTCTGGTAGCAGGAAGCCGGGCAGTGAGTCATTACACGCTGCCCGGTTTCCTGATTGGCTGGGAAGCCGCTCCATGCTCCCTTGTCACTTGTGACGAGGGAGCATGGAGCCGGCTTCCCAGCCAATCAGGATACCAGGCAGCGTGTCATTACACGACCTGTGTCATTACACCTGGTGACGAGGGAGCATGGAGCCGGCTTCCCGGCCAATCAGGAAGCTGGGCGCCGTGTATTGATGCGTTGCCTGGCCAGCTTCTCGGCCAATCAGGAAGACAGGGAATGC